GTAATGCAGTGTGTCTGCACCGTGTCTCTGTGTTGCTGCATTGCGTCTCAGTATTGCTGCATGCTGTCAGTGTGGCTGCACTGTGTCTCAGAGTTGCTGCACTGTGTCTCAGTGTTGCTGCATTGTTTCAGCGTTGCTGCATTGTGTCTTAGTGTTGCTGCATTGTTTCAGCGTTGCTGCATTGTGTCTCAGCATTGCTGCACTGTGTCTCAGTGTTGGTGCATGATGTTTCAGTGTGACTGCATTTTGTCTCAGCATTGCTGCGCTATGTTTCAGTGTTGCTGCATTGTCTCAGCATTGCTGAATGGTGGCAGTGTTGCTGCACTGTGTCTCAAAGTTGCTGCACTGTGTCTCAGCACTGTCTCAGCGTTGCTGCACTATGTTTTGGTGTTGCTGCATGGTGTCAGTGCTGCTGCATGGTCCCAGCGTTGTTGCATGGTGTCTCTGCATTGCTGCACTGTGTCTCAGCATTGCTCGCTATGTTTCAGTGTTGCTCCATGGTGTCAGTGTTGCTGCATTGTCTCAGCATTGCTGCATGGTGTCAGTGTTGCTGCATGGTCTCAGAGTTGCTGCACTGTGTCTCAGCGTTGCTGCACTGTGTCTCAGCATTGCTGCATGGTGTCTCAGCGTTGCTGCACTATGTTTCAGTGTTGCTGCGTGGTCCCAGTGTTGCTGCACTGTCTCAGTGTTGCTGGGACCATGCATTGTGTCTCAGTGTTGCTGCACTGTCTCAGCGTTTCAGCATTGCTGCATGGTGTCAGTGTTGCTGCACTGTCTCAGTGTTGCTGTACTGTGTCTCAGTGTAGCTGCATTGTGTCTCAGCATTGCTGCACTGTGTCTCAGCATTTCAGCACTGCTGCATGGTATCAGCGTTGCTGCACTGTGTCTCAGCATTGCTGCATGGTGTCTCAGTGTAGCTGCACTGTGTCTCAGTGTTGCTGCATTGTGTCTCAGCATTGCTGCACTGTGTCTCAGCGTTTCAGCACTGCTGCATGGTGTCAGTGCTGCTGCACGGTGTCTCAGCGTTGCCGCCCGCTGTGAGCACTGACCTCGTCGCTGCGCGCGCGCTCGATCTTGGCCTTGAAATCTCTGACGTCGCGATGCAGCCCGCGCTGCATTTCCAGCTGCGCCTCCACGCCGGGCGCGTCCGCCCCCCACTCAGCCGTTTCCATGCGGCGCAGGTTCTCCTCCACCCAGCGCTGCAATTCCTGCAGGTACCGCAGCGCCGCCGCCTCCTCCTGCTCGGCCCGCGTGCGCAGCGTGGCGGCGGCGGCGGTGGCATGCAACGCGTGCTCGGAGCGCAGGGCCACGAGGCGCTCGTGCAGGCGGTAGACGCGGCGGTACATCTGCTCGCCCTGCGGGTGCCGCCCGTCCTTCAGCGCCTGCACGTCCGCAAACAGCGCCCGCAGCATGGCGTCCGCCTGCTCCAGGTCGCGCTGCAGCTCCGCCGTGCGCTGCGCCGCCTTCCCGGCCGCGTGCAGACGCAGCTCCTGCAACGGGAAAGCCAGCAGGGGGGGAGAGCGGGGGGTCAGATAGAGCTGCGTGGTGCAGAGCTGCACGGTGCCGGGCTGCATGGTGCAAAACTGCATGGTGCAGAGCTGCATGGCGCAGAGCTGCATGGTGCAGAGCTGCATAGTGCAGAGCTGCATGGTGCAGAGTTGCATGGTGCAGAACTGCATGGTGCAAAACTGCATGGTGCAGAGTTGCACAGTGCAGAGCTGCATGATGTAAAGCTGCATTGTGCAGAAATGTGTAGTGCAGAACTGCATAGTGCAGAGTTGCATGGTGCAGAACTGCATGGTGCAGAGTTGCATGGTGTAAAGCTGCGTGGTGCGGAGCTGCATGGTGTGGAGTTGCACGGTGCAAAGCTGCACGGTGCAGAAGTGCATGGTGCAAAACTGCGTGGTACAGAGCTGCATGGTGCAGAGCTGCATGGTGCAGAGCTGCATGGTGCAAAGTTGCATAGTGCAAAGCTGCACGGTGCAGAACTGCGTGGTGCAGAGCAGCATGGTGTAAAGCTGCGTGGTGCAGAGCTGCATGGTGTGGAGTTGCACGGTGCAAAGCTGCATGGTGCAGAAGTGCATGGTGCAGAACTGCGTGTTGCTGTGTTGCACTGGGCAGCATTGCACTGAGCAGCATTAGCTTGGGCAGCGTTGCTTTGTGCAGCACTGCATTGTGCAGCATTGCATCACGCTGCATTACATAGTGCAACAATGCATTGTGCAAAATCACACTGTGCAGCACCGTGTTGTGTGCACTGTGCTGCACCATGCAGCATGATACCACACAGCACTGCACTGTGCTGTGCTGCATTGTGCTGTGCTGCATTGAGCTGCACTGCCCTGTGCTGTGCTGCATCGCGATGCACAGCGCCACAAATGCATTACATGGTGCCGCATCGCACCGTGCAGCTCTGCATTGCATTGCAACACACTGCAACACACACTGCACCGCAACACAGTGCTGCACTGCACTGCCCCAGCCATGCACTGCAATGCACCTCTCTGCACTGCAATGCACCGCCCCATCCCTGTGCTGCAATGCACCTCCCTGCACTGCAATGCACCGCCCCATCCCTGCGCTGCACCTCTCTGCACTGCAATGCACCGCCCCAGCCATGCGCTGCAATGCATCTTCCAGTGCTGCAATGCATCATCCCATCCCTGTGATGCACCTCCCTGCACTGTAATGCACCGCCACATCCCTGCACTGTGCTGCAATGCATCACCCCATCCACGCACTGCAATCCACCTCCCTGCGCTGCAATGCACCTCCCATGTGCTCCCCATGCAGCTCCACACCACGCAGCACTGCACCACACGCTGCACCGTGCACTGCACCACGCATTGCTGCCCCGCCGCCAGCACTCACCGCCTGCAGCAGCGCGTCGGCCTGGTTGAGCTGCTCCTCGCACAGCCCCGCCTCCGTCTGCAGCTTCGTCACGATGCGCTGCAGCCGCTCCAACCTGCGCGGATGCAACCAATGGGGGCGATGCACTGCAATGCAGCTCCCTGTGCTGCAATGCACCGCCCCATCCATGCACTGCAATGCAGCTCCCTGTGCTGCAATGCACCGCCCCATCCCTGCGCTGCAATGCACCCCCCCTGTGCTGCACTGCACCTCTGCACTGCAATGCACCGCCCCATCCATGCACTGCACCTCCCTGTGCTGCAATGCACTGCCCCATCCATGCGCTGCAATGCACCTCCCTGTGCTGCATTGCACCTCCCTGCACTGCATTGCACCACCCCATCCCTGCACTGCACTGCTCCCTCGTATGCTGTACTGCCCAACCCTGCACTGCACCGCTGCGCTGCACCACTCATCCCTGCACTGCACTGCCCTTTCCTGCACTGTACTACCCCACCCATGCACTGCACTGCACTGGCTCTCAATGCACTGCACTGCACTGCACTGCACTACCCCACCCCTGCACTGCACTCTCTGTCCCTGCAATGCACCGCCCAGCCCTGCACTGCACTGCAACCTGTCACACTGCACGCAGCCCCCCCCAGCGCAGTGCCCCCCCACTGCAGTGCCCCCCACTGCAGTCTTCCCCAATGCAGTGCACCCAATGCAGCAACCCCAATCTGTCACGCAGCACGCAGCCCCCCCCAATGCAATGCCCCCCCATGCAGCGCCTCCAAACTGTCACACACTGCATGCAGCCCCCCCAATGCAGTGCCCCCCCAATGCAGTGCCCCCACTGCAGTGCCCCT